AACATGACCTGCTAACAGTAGCTATGCTTTGGAAAATGATTCACTCGTTATGAAGCACTTTAAATTGTCAAAGATGCCACAGAAATACAGTTAATAATGAACTCCTCCTGGCCTCCCACAAGCCCAGACACATTGCCACTATATCCATCACTGTCTACCAATCCCCGCTCCCCATCTTTACATTATTGTATCTCAAAATCCTCATCCTATTTTTCCAAATTCCTTTATATGTGCACCATTATTAATTTAAATCCCTATTTACAATTTGTGTCATTGTTTTGTTCTGTTGGTACGTAACAAAAACCAAGTAGGAGGCCATTTGCTGTCTTTGTATTATTGCTAGACCATTGATCCAGAGACCTAAGTACTGTTTTGGGGACCCAGGTTCGAATTGCATGAAGGCAGACGTAGAATTTGAATTCAATAAAAATCTGGAATTGTGAGTCTAATAGTGACCATGATGTCAAACAGCCAGTGGGCATTGAGGGTGGTTGGCACCAAAGGCAGAATGAGAGAAAGTAAATGACTGTTGATGTGACAAGTGGCATTGTTCATTACTGGGGAAAGAGCTCATCTGGTTCACTAATGTCCTTTGGGGAAGGAAACTGCCATCCTAACCTAGTCTGGCTACATGTGACTCCAGACCCACAGCAATGTCGCTGACTCTCAACTGCCATCTGGGCAATAAATGCTAGCCTAACCAGTGACTCACATGCCATGTGAATGAATTTTAAAAAAATTAACTCTAGACCTCATTTGTATTTATTTGCCTTGTTTTCATATCCCTCAACACCCTTACCTAATTAAAAATCTAACAGTCTCAGTCTTGAAAGATCCAAATGGCTGTCAACCTCAGCATTTTTTTTCGGTTGGAAGAATTCCAGATTTCAACTCTCCTTTGAGTGAAGATGTGTTTCCTGATATCACCCTTGAACAGGCTGGCCCTCTTTTTTATTTAAATTCTGCCATTATTGATGGTCCAGCAGATGTTTTAGTTTATCTGTTTCAAATGCGTTTGAACTCCTTAATCAGATCATCCCATATCCTACAGACTACTAGCAAACTTTGCACCTCACCCTCTCCAGATTCACACTCTTGCACTTTTTATTTTACTTTCCTCATTTTACTTCTGGAGACAACCACCCTCGATTTCCACTGGCTGTCTGACATCACGTCAGTTCTCTTGTTAAGTTTTAGTTAATCCAATGTATCATGTCATTTGTGAGGGTTTTTTAAAAACTGATTTTATCTTGCATCTACTCCATGGTAGAGAGAGCAAGATTAACACTTCGGGAATTTTGAGCACCAGGCAATAATCTGGCCTTGGTACAGTGATATGTGCTTGGTGCCTGCTTTCTCTTTCCTCAAGTGTCATCAATCACTCTTCTTATCTGCTGCTGCTCTTGCACTTTCAAAATGATTTATTCTCATGTCACATCTTCACTGCTCCCTAACTTGTAAAATGAAGGAAGGAGGTCATTCAGTTGAGAGGAAGTAATATTAGTGAAGTTAAAAACATACAGGTTCCTATAGGATGGAGAGTTTTATTGTTCACTTCTCCACATGCTGACAGCTTAATAAGGAAACTGGAGCACTGGGCTTTCAACTAAAGTCCCTGTTTTGAATGTCAATTTGCAGAGGATTGCGCTGTATTGTATGCGGGATCTTGCTGTACGTGAGCTGGTTGCTGTGATTCTCCATATTCTAAGTGACCATACTTCAAAGCTTTTATTGGTCGTTAAATGCATTGGAAGGTGCCAAGGTCATAAAGGTGATATATAACTGCAATTCTTATAGGATAGGTTTCATGTCTGTCAGTGGTAGTGTGGGGAAGGAAGACTAGTTGGTCTGGGATCAGTTCACCTCTATTGTGGGTTTCTCTGGCCCTTTGTTCACGCTCTTTTGTGCATTAGCCTCCTCTGTTGAGGTGCATATGGCTCTCATCCTGTTCCATTGCAACATCTTACCAACTCTGGCAAGATGCATTTCTGGAGGCTCCATGAGATGATCTCCAGGCCATCCCACGGTCGACCATTGGTCACCCAACACATCCACCTTTGCAGTGTCTTGCTTATTTATAGTTAAGCAGAAAGTGAACCAAGTGTTCATGAGCTGGTTGGATGATTTTTGATTCTCAAACAGCTTCTATACCTCATCTCTGAGAGTTTTACAACCACAGACTTCAAAGAATTTCTTAAAGAGCATTTTCAGAATGCCATATTGATTTTCTTTTGTTGATCTGGCAGGATATATTTTTCTTTCCCCACTCATCATCTTAACGTGGAAACAGGATGTTGGGATGAAGAAAAATAGCTCCAAGATTGAAGATTGATCTACTAAAACAGGGGAGCATGGTGCTTTTGGAAGTTCTGTTACCACTTCTCATTGTCATGTTTATTCTGAACTTGTAAGAAAATCGTGCATTAGCTGCACCATTTAAACAAATGGGGCCAGAATCGCGTTATAGCCAATACAGATAAGGAAAGTTCACGGTCTACAAATAATGGTCTAAATTCCTCTCTCACATTAAAGCCAATTTGCGTTGAAGAAACACACATTATTGCAGAACCAACTATGCTTGTATTCCTCCACCCTCTATCACCACGTCAGGCTGTTCCAAAGCAGTTTACAGTCAATGAAGTACCTTCTGAAGTGGAACTATTGTTCTAATGCAGGAAATGTAACTACTGACTTGCATCAATTTGACAATTATTCCACATGATGGTTGAAGGGATACGTATTGAGAAGAAAACTCCCTACAGGGCATACAGGGAAGACTAGCATCTCATCCAAAAAGGGGAATTCTCAAACTCTGTATTGCAGTGACATGTGAACCTGACTGAGTCAGCTTCTGAAAACAGGCAAGAGTGCTACTCATAAAGTCACTGCTGATACCTTAAAGCCTAAAAAGTGGGGTGACATCAAGGCCTGTGAGGTCCCTCCCTATCTGTGAAGAAATTTAAAGTGTAGAAGGTGATCAGTCAGCCTTTAGCAGCTCTGCTGGCTGTTTCATAGTGTAATTGAAATCCAGACTCACTACTTTGTTCTTCCATGGATGGTCTTGTATCTTCCTCTTCGATCTTGATTCACTCTTGGGTGACTGTTTGCATGGAGTTTGCATGTTCTTCCCATGTCTGCGTGGGTTTCCTCTGGGTGCTCCTGTTTCCTCCCACAGTCCAAAGATGTACAGGTTAGGGTGGATTGGTCATGCTAAATTGCCCCATTGTGTCCAGGGATGTGCAGGCTTAACCAAGGGAAATGCGGGGTTACAGGGATAGGGTAGGGGTTTGGGTCTGGGTGGGTTGTTCTTTGGATGGGTCACCGTGGACTCGATAGGCCAAATGGCCTGCTTCCACACTGCAGGGATTCTTTGATTTTTACCCTTCAAATTTACCCTTCAAACAATCTTTCTATGCCATTTCCTGTGGCAAAGCATCTCCTATTCCAGTAAAGTTACATGAAGACATTCTTCCATTCTCACTCCTCACTCTGAGGTAATTTTTCATTGTTGATCCCTTTCCACTGATACTTCAATCAGAGGAAATAAAAGCTTAACAATAAAAAGATAAACTAGGTCAGAAATCAGACAACACTAGGTTACAGGCCAACAGGTTTATTTGAAATCACAAGCTTTCGGAGCGTTGCCCCTTTGTCAGGTGAAGACTTCTGATTTCAAATAAACCTGTTGGACTACCACCTGGTGTTAACACGGTGTAGAGCTGAATGGACACAGCAGGCCAAGCAGCATCAGAGGAGCAGGAAGGCTGACGTTTGGGGCCTAGACCTTTCTTCAGAAAATCAACCTGCTGTTGTCTGATTTCTGACCTTGTCCACCCCAGTCCAACACCGGCACCTCCACATCAAAAACAAACTAAATTACAGCTCTTAGCCTTCTCTGCTTTATGTTTCTCCAGTTGCACCTGTCGAATATTTTAGGAATTTATCTGCCTTAGCATCAGATTTGTTTGCCTCCCAGATATATGTAAAGAAAAACAGTGAACAGCCTTTGCAAGGTAATTTTCGCTCAGGATAAGCTTAGGTGTCAATGAATATTGCAATGAATTTTAATATTGGAATTTTGGTTTCTACGATAAGTCATGTACGATGTAAATGAAGCATGTTTTCCTGCACCATATCGTTCTTTTAGCTTCTTTCATTTGTCAAGGTAATTAAGAATGTCAAAAAATCATCCTTACACACAAAGTGCTACAGTTTATTTTTGTTGTTGGTGGTTCAATTTTTCCAAGCCACTTCATTGAGAGCAGAACCAACGTGTCCTGTTCACAAACAAACACCTTTATAGGTTTGGGTTTGTTAATGTTTGACGGACTCATTTTTAAACTCTGGTTTTCTGTGAGGGTGTTGCTCAATCTGTCTGGTTCACTGGGAGTTGATATAAAAACTTCATAGAGTGACAGGACTGAGAAAATTTTTAAAGAAATTCCCATAATAAGACCTAGGAGGCTATGAGCTGGGGATTGTTCTACATATGGTAAAGAAGATTTAAGGGAGATTTGATGGAGATATTCAAAGTTATGAAGGCTTTTGACTGTTTCTCCCTCTCTACTCTGTTTTCTCTGGGAGGAGGATCAGTAGCCAGAGCAATGCGGTTTAAAAGGAAGATGAATTTGTTCCATTTGCGAAGTGAGTCACATGATCTTGAAAATGCCATTACAAAGGGCAGTAGAAGTAGATTCAATATTAACTTTCAAAGGAGTATTGCCTAAATACTTGAAAAGAGAGAAATGTATAGGACAGTGGCAAAAGAACAGGGGTCCAACAAATTTAATAGCTTTTTCAAAGAGCTTACTTGGACACAATGGGTTGAATGGCCTCATTTTGTGCTGTTAAGATTCTACATTCAATAAATTACTTAAGGCTGCTATTTGTCATGTTCACTTTGGCATTAGGACTGTTCTTGAGTCACAGGAGTATTTTGGTTACTACTTTCTCAACAATCACTCACTTAATGTGTCTGAAAACCATGTTTCAACAGGTCTCACAAACCCCACCATGGGGTCTTCCAGCTAAAAATCAAAGGGCATCAACTGTACAGAACACATAGGGCAACCAGGCTATTAGAGAAGCATCCCAGTGGAAAATTCGCATTGTCCAAGCCAGCCACTTTTCGAGTCTCCGTGGTAGCTGCAGCATTTGGTGTCCAAGTGTTTTAATTGGACAACTAGTACACCAACTAATTCCATGTTGAGCCCTGACAGAGACATAAGAGAGCCAGAGGCCCAACGCTGACACAGAACTGTGCGATGCAAACAGGAGGTGGGACAGGTAATACACATGCACTCTCAATTTTGGAAGGGTAAAATTTGGTACCATGAGCAACACTGGTAGGAGCTAAATAAAAACAGAAAGAACTGTGGATACTGTAAATCAGGAGCAAGAACAAAAGTTGCTGGAAAAGCTCAGCAGGTCTGGCAACATCTGTGGAGAAAAAAATCACAGTTAATGTTTTGGGTCCAGTTTTGGGTTTCGTTTTGGATTCTGAGGAAGGGTCACCGGACCCGAAACGTTAACTCTGATTTTTTCTTCACAGATACTGGTAGGAGTTAACGGTGTGCAGAATTTTGTAAGCAGCAAAGCAACTTCGACTTAAGTTGATTGGTTGAAGGTCAAAAGTTTGGGGAAACTATTCTTCGAAGCAGCTCATTCCCTCAGGGCCCAAACTTTGTTCGGGACATACCTCAATGTTTCAGGTAAATGTGCCACAGAAATATTTTAATGTACTACTGTCTGGAGATTATTAAAACTGCAGCTCAAGAGGTAGCTATAAAAGCAATTTACAAAATTAAATAGCTTGCTTTCACTTAAGTGTTTGAGCAAATTTTACACAGATTTAAAAGAATAAGTGCAGCACGTTTAACAGGAGTTTCTTTGATGGTTTGATTCTGTCTCACTTTGTTTTTCTATGCTTTGAGGTCATACCTTTTGTCACTCGATTCCTGCTGGGTAACTCAATGAGCAAGACTGAGGAACTGCCCTCCAACCAGGCCTCAAGGCAAGATCCGCCCTAGATCATTGACATTCCCCTTTCTTCCTTTGATTCTGTACTGCCTTCCCCACTCCAACACACTACTTCCAGCCAGGTAGGAGAGTCTAGTCCCAGGCCAGTGTTGGAATTGCCCTCTGGGCTACAATGAAAGAATGACGTTCCCTCTGGTATCACAATCAGAGAGTGGCTACCCAGACTTCCAGCTGCAGGGAACAATAGTCAGAGAGAATGGTTTCTCTTGAATCTTCTGCTCACATTACAACAGCACTGGGGAGGCAAATCCCAACAGCCTTTCACTGATCATAAGAAAGCACTGTGACTGGGAGGTTGATTTTAGTCTGATCTGCTAGGGCCAGGAGGTTCCAGTGTAGCCAGTGATTGACTCAACTAGAGAGTGGAGATCAGTCTTGGAAGTGAAAGGGAGGCTGTTGTGGAGAGGCTGGGCGTTCCAATTAGGGGTGCAGAATTGCAAAAGAAAATTTAGATCTTTAGATTGTAGTGACTCTTTCCAGCCTTTAAAGATCAATGAGGTAGGGCAAATGTACGCAAGACTTCATCTGATCATAAAAGTTGCCTCAAGGGGATGGGGACACTTCATTGAAATAATATTTTTGCCTTTTTCAGAAGGCAATCAGAACCAATCCCAAAAGCCCCTGGAAAACCCAGTTGGGCAGGCGTTACAGCTTTATATTTTGCATTTGCGTAACGTGGGTTTCCTCCGGGTGCTCTGGTTTCCTCCCACAGACCAAAGATATGCAGACTAGGTGGATTGGCCATGCTAAATTGCCTGCAGTGTTCAGGATGTGTAGATTAGGTGGGTTGTTGGGGGATGGGTCTGAGTCTGGGTGGGATGCTCTGAGGGGCGGTGTGGACTTGTTGGGCCAAAGGGCCTGTTTCCACACTGTAAGGGTTCTATGATCTATTGTCTTGCTCCTCAGTCTAAAGTGGTGTGATAGGTGTATAAAAAGCTCCCCATCTGCCTCTACCAACTCAACTCACCATCTCACAATCAGACCAAGGCTGAACAATGAAGTCAGTCCTGAATCAACCCTCCTCCAACTGTAATTCGAGTATCACTGGTCCTGAATCTTTTCCAAACTCCAGATGAACAGTTCCCCCTTTTCAGTGTTAGCCTTGCAATGCCTTTCTGACACCAGGGCTGACGTTAATGCATCTTGTTTAGTTGAGAAAGAAGCAGAGAAGGGTCAATAAAACAACACAGAAACCATTCCCCTTAAAACTAGGTGTTCTGTTGCTAGAAAGTTCTCCATCACAGGCTAAAATGAAAAGGGAACAATTATTAAATTAACTCAATGTAAATAAAAATAAAATTATATAGTTAGGAGAAATAAATTAAGAAATTTAAGTTTAAAGGACCATCTTCCCATTAATCACCTGTCCCTTTTCCCTCCAACTTTCAAGGCCCTACCCCACAAAAGGCAGTAGGTAGTTGCGAAAGGCAATCCTCTCTTCCTTCTCTATTTTAGACAAACATATTGTTATAATCTGCCTGAAAGATCAGTAAAGGCAGATTCAATTAATTTTGAAAAGGAATTGGATAATATTTAGAATATAAAAAAACTGGACCCATGGGGAGAGAGCAGTGCAGGTGGGGATTAAATTGAAGAGTTCTTTCAAAGAATCAGCACAGACTGATGGGCTACATGGTCTTCTGTGCTGTGCTATAGTCCTATTACCAAATATGCAAGAGTTGGAAAACTACTTAAGCAAACATTCAAAGCTCTGAGGTGAATCCAGACTCATGAGCCCCATTGTGGTAAAAACCGGGCTCCTTTTACATCATTAACTAGCGTACACAGGAATAGATTACCCACTACATAGACACACAGGTCGAAGCAGCGTCTGGTGGTGATGGTGGTAACCATCCTGCACAGCACTGAACTGAGTCCCATGGGAAGATGTCCGAATTGGATCCCAGACTGTGCTGAGTCAGAGCTAGGCCAGTGTATGGGCATGTGTCGTTACGGAGTTAAACTATAATTTACTCTTGTCAGAGAGGGTTAAAATTGAATTCTCCTTGCTCACTGCTTCTTGTGCTTGGAGCACAGGAGGGTCACTGAGCTTGTAGAGATCATCCATGACAGATAGGCAGGCAGGCAAGCTACAAGAGCAGACCCATTCAGCATCTTTGAGAAGGGAAAGCAAGTGGATAGGATTGATGAAATTCAGCAAGTGTTAGGCTTCAGTGCGGATTGGAACCCTGTTATACTAAGGAGGGAAAACATTACCTGTGGCATTGAGGAGCCTGGGGAGGAACTGGTTCCAGAAGGCACACATCTGAACTCGTAGACCCTTATTGACCTTGATAGGCTCCACGTTAAGGTCAATGAACTTCTGGTCATCGGTGGTGAAAGGTGGCCATTTTCGTTTTTGCATATGATGCTCATTTGGGTTTCTGGAGAGAATAAAAACAGACAGTCAAATACTTGTTCGATGAACCTTCGGCTATTGTGCTTCAGACATAAGTACCTAATGAATCAGGAACCTAGAAATAGGAGATCACTAAGCTCTGTGAACTCATTCCATCATTCGAATAGATGCCAACTCCATTTTCACACTTGTTTCATATCTCTCAATGTTGTCTCAACTAAAATCTGTCAATCTCTGTCTTGAAAGCTCTAACTGACCTCTCCGCCCATGTCCACTGCCATTTAAGGTGGAGAGCTCTAGATTTACAATCTCTGCTTGTGAAAAATGCTTCCTGGTTTTATTTGTAAATAGTTCAGATCTAATTTTAAGATTGTGGAAAAAGCCTTGTTCTCCATTCACCGGATCAGAGGAAATAGTTCGTCTCGATTCACCTTATTGAATTACATTATTATTTTGGATAACCTTTGGGGAATACGAGCCAAGAAGAGGCAATTCTATCTTGTAATTTATCCATCAAGCTATGGCTTGGGTTTGTTCCAAATGTGTACATATAGAGAGATTCCATCTCACTCTGTAAACTAATTGTTAACATTAATATTCTGAGAAGAATTTCCAATATTAACTGTTGAAGAATGGTTAGATTTTGGTTGAACATAGACCCCATATTCAACTTGTAAGTCTACATCATTTCTTTTGATTGTGGACTGAAGTAGTAAAGAACTATCTTAAAAATCGGATTGAGAGGGAAAAATAGCCACACTTTTCAAAACAGGTTACTGGAACTTGTTGTGAGTTGTGCAAACTGTGGCAGGAGGAGACATAAGACGCCATGGCACCAGGGTGTGCAGAGTAAGATTCATCCAACAACAGATTGCTGACTGGTTTGTCCAACTGTGACCAGTGATGGATGCTGGAAGACATCTGCCTGATGACTCTCTGGCTTATGGGTAGGTAAACAGTTTGAGAGTTTATGATCAAGGGAGAGATGCCACTGGACTTGGACCTAAAGGACAAGGGTAGCAGAGACATGGGAACACCACCACCTGCAAGTTCCCCTCCAAGCCACCCACCATCCTGATATGGATATATATCACCGTTCCTTCAGTGCTGCTGGGTCAGAATCCGAGAGTTCCCTCCCCAGCATCATTGTTGGTCAACCTACAGTATATGCACTGCAGCGGTTCAAGAAGTTAGCTCACTACCATGTTCTCAAGGGGCAATAAGGGACAAGCAAGAAACGCTGGTCCAGCCAGCAATACCCACGTCACACAATTGAATTAAAAACAAACTTATGAAGGAGAAGATCCTGCGACACTTGTCTCTCTGCAGTAAAAGAGTGAAGCCTGTAAAAAGCCAGTTAGATTCTCCTTGCTGTTGCTTCTTACAAAATAGCTAAGAGACTTTATGGAGTGTCAGCTGCTCTGTTTTTTGTGAAGGTCTGGAGAAGGAGACTGAAGAATAGAAGGTCTTGGGAAGCAAAAGGAACATCTCGCCATTTCTGTGTACTTGTGCGATTGTGTTCTCCAGTGTTTATTCCTCCACCAATAAACCAATGTTGTTTTGTTTGTGTCTGCCTGTGTCTGTGTGTGTGTGTGTGTGTGTGTGTGTGTGTTGGGGTTTAAAAAGTGGGTTAGGATTTCAACTAGTGGTGTCATATGTTGGTAGCTCAGTTTCATTTACTTGTGGCTAAAACGTATTTGTAATAAATAGGAGTTCTTGTTAAGTACAGGAAGCTGGTCAAATATTTTCTATAAAGCAGAGTCCAAAAGACTGCTAAACTGGGGACTTTGCATACTTTGCTTAAATCATTAGTTTTTGTGGTGACCCTGGGAGTACTAGGGCTGGAGAATCAATGCACTTTCCCCAGTGGGTTGTAACAAACTAAGCTGAGTCTGTGTGAGATAACACAGTGTGGAGCTGGAGGAACACAGCAAGCCAGGCAGCATCAGAGGAACAGGAAAGTTGATGTTTCGGGTCGGGA